TAGAATGATTGGGCAAGTCAAGACTTTAAATTAAGAATTGTTCTGAGCTGTAAAATGTTTTTGGTGACATATTTTTTTTTTAAAAGATTTACTTTTTCTAGGACTAATATCAATCTATGGAATAGCCTTCATGCTAACATATTGTTTTGCATTTAACTGGTAAGATAATCCCACCCTTCACATCATATGATCAACTCTTCCAAGAATGTCAGCACAAGATGAACTCCTTGCACCTAGACTTCTCTTCAACATGTTCAGGCTGAAGTTTTTCCCCTGGGAGTGAGACTGCATTTTGATTGTAAGTTTAATAACAAATGTTTCAAGCAATGGCTGATATGCGGCAAAGAATTCTATCTCTCTACAATCTTCACCTCGCAACTACAACCATTAAAAGGGAATAGAGACACACTAATAATAAAGGCATACTGCTTACTCCACGTAACTAGCAGACGTTTGTCCACCATCGTTTCTGGTAATTGGACCCAGCAATATTTCATTTGGAACACAAATGTTTTCAACAACTTGTAAGTAGTTTTTCGCACCTAATGGGTTTCAGGGCTTAGAACAGATCCCAGGCACTTGCCTGTTACAAGAGGTGACATAATAAGATTGGGTGGTCAGGCTTGGTGACTTGCTTGATTGCGTGTCATGCAAATATTTCCCATTGACTACAGGCAGCCATGATTTAACTAGGATATGCTCTCTGTAGTGTAACACAAAGTTTTCAATAAATCATCTGAGCTTTCCATTCATTCATGTTTAACCATACTGTACAAAGCGAGTACAGCAATGAATGGTATTTCAGGTCTATCATGGCATGCCAGCTTGCTGTGGGAGGATACCCTGAGGTGAACCAGGTCTCAAACGGTCACACCACAAATTAAAGTTCAAAGCCACAAATAGGTATGGGATCTATAAACCATGAAACGTAATAAGGCAGAACAGGATTCAAACCCACTATCACAAGTTTCTGGAATGCCTTAGCAAATAATGTACTAAAGTAGAATCACTAGCTAGTGAGTGATTATGTTTTACGCCGCTTTTAGCAACATTCCAGCAATATCACGGCAGGAGACACCAGAAATGGGCTTCCCACTAGTTACTATTAGAATAAGCAAGTGGATGAGTTAAGTTTTAGACTTTAAGCAATATTCCAACAACATCACAGCTGAAGGCAATGAAATGGGCTTCACACATTGAACCTTGGAGGGTATGCAAACCCAGATCTACAACAGGATCATTCAAATTAACCAACAGGCAACTCCTCTGTCCCATGATCTGGATAAAGCATATATAATTCAGACTCTTCAAAATATAATAATGTTCAAACAACTACAAATCGTCACGACAAAATTACGCTGAGCTCTATTGACCAACTGTCCCATGTAACAAGCTACCTGCTAATTAGGCCTCGTCAAATACCAATTAGTACTAATTACTGGTCACACCTGATGATGTAAGAACATAAACAACCAGTCACTGGGTTGGGGCCCAAGTGTTAATGGCTATGTGATGAGTGGAGGGTTAATTCAAACAGCTGTATTCTCACAGAACAGAACAGTTCCCATATGACATTTGGAGCTTGCTAATGAAATAATTGCACTTTAGAATTATGGACCCTAACATAATGGAATGATTGTATTTGCTGTGATACTCAATGGTATGATTGTCAGATGATTGTTTTCAAGTCTTATTAAACAAAGCATTTTAAGCATAGCACACTCTGGACAAAACTGCATTTAGTTCAAGGATCCGGGATTTCTCTAGGAATTCCAGCTAGCTGCCGATGGATGGAAAAATAGGAAGAAATGGTTTCTTTGCCCTGAAATGCTTTCATAAGTTTTTAAATTCTATCTAAACTTTTGCACTATACAAGTATTGTTGTTGATCAAATTATCGCAAACAAGTTCTTAAATTTTTTACCTCTTCACTGCATTTGTAATGAGTGACATATATGTGTATGTTTGTAAAACAAACTTTAACACTGGAATACAATTATCACAACCTAAAATTATGGACTCAAAATTAGAAAATGTTTACTGACATTTTCCAGGGATAACTAGTAACATGGAAAATCGCCTTGATAGTATTAGCTCACTCAATGTAGATGATTGTTTTTAAGCCAATATTATCAGTAAGGACAAAATAAAGAGAACTGCCAGCTTGAAACGTGTACCTGTATAATACTGATAACATGAAATGTATGGCCATTTAGATAAACATAGCTTTTTCAGACTTGTGGGTGTTACCAAGTATTTGATGACTGGCAATATCATCAGGAGCCTATGGAACATTATGCACTGACATCTACGTAACAAAAGTTATCATTAATATTCTGTAGTACATTCTATGATGAAATGTATGAGATGAACATGACATCACTCTGGAACACTGTAACGTCAAGAAACAGTTAACGTCATCTGCTTCTGTGACAACTACCCTGGCAGAACGCGGAGTGAAGAAAATCGGGTTAGGTTAGGGTTATTTTAATCTCAGTTATATATTTTTTCACCTTTCTGCGCTCGCATCATTTGACCTAATTAAATATGGCAGGCAGGTATCTGATATAATTTGCTCTGTTCAGGACTTAGCAAACTTGATATGAGAAAGGTGTATAGGTATTGTATTTTAGAAAATATTCAATCAATGAAAAGTACTCTAAAGTTTTCCAAGATCCAAACCCATTCAAGATAAATATGAACCAATTAGATGACACACCTCCATTCATTAAATGATCACAGATCAACATCATAACCATGGTGTTAGTTCTGTGGAAACGGTATGAAACAAACATCCCCTGAAATCTAACGCATCAAAAATATTTATGAATATATTCAGCCTCAATTAGAAACAGCTATGAAAAAACATACTGATCATGTTTATTGTTTTACAATGACCCTGTCTGAACTGTGAATACTCCAACTTTAACCCCCTACTTCAACATACAGATTAAACATCACTGTCAAACTAATAATGGCACTAATCTTCATACTAAAGAGTACTATCACCTCAGCTCGAGTTTCTGTTGCACCTACTTTGTAAATACTGTCATAATAAGTCTTTCCAATCTATCTACTACTACACAATGTTATAAATATATGTTATATTAATATGTTGTGTTTTTTAAGCTGTGCTCCAAGGTAAGAAAGAGGTCTATTGTATGGGGACATTGATTATAGCTGAATGTAGGTAACCTTACCAGATGAGTGGATAGATGCTCATACCATTGACAACTGGTTTATCTGGCTGCTACTTGATTATTTATACGCCAGTGAACAATAATGTACTTACATTTACTTAAAGGCTGTGTGAAAATACTGGAAACTGCATAATAAATGATTATTACTAACACAACACTATTATTTTCAAATCATAAAAATAAGCAAGGCATAAAATGGACTTTTCAAGATTGAAGTGTTCTATAGTTTAATCAATTATTGTCCTGAGAACTGACACAAAAATGTAGTGGCAATACAGATATGTGGGTGAGTATTTTAAATATCTGAAACGACAGCACTTGAAAATCACAAAGCTCTTATCGTGTTGGACTCAATTGTTCTGGTTGAACAGTTTCAAAATAGAGCCTAAGGGGGAAAGCTATTTTACACGCATATTGTACATTCTTGAGACAGGCATACTGGTAATTAAATCAAGCTATTTGGGAAGGAATATCAGTCTTTACACCTCAGTGAAACGAAGCCATTGTCACCGGCAAGGATGTTGAAAACACAGTTTTCTCAAACAGAATAAGAAAAGGTGAACACATTCCAACATTAATTAAAATTAACACTGTCTAGAGCATTTCACAATACATATCGGGACACTCGAGAGCGTTCTACTTTCATTGTAGCACGACTCTTGACAGGCTCACAACATAGGAAGTTGAAGAAAGGAAATTGGTCTGAAGAGGGGAGGGGTCAGCTTTGTAGTGTGCAATGTAGCCTAGTTTCTACTGTTCACCGGATAGCATTACTTTCCTGTTTCAAAAGTGTTTCATTGTTGCCATAAACACTTAATTTGTGAAATAATACACTTGAAAGGGGGAACCCATATCAAATGGTTATTTCCCATGGTGTAACAGTATTGTCACTAGTTCCTATTTTCCCATAGTCACTATATATAGTATTGTTTGAAAATTGTACAAAATGTTCAACATTTTATATACTAGACAATGGTTATCACATAAGTATAACATTGAAAATGGATGAGACAACAAATATTGAAGTATAATGATATTTTCATATTCCAGCTATTATATTATGGGTTTATATTAAATACAAAAACAGTACTGAACAAAACACAACCTGTTGAATCTAAACATTACAGCAATAGCGAGTCAGTGGCACAATAATATTTCGTTATCATCCACCCACTATTTACATAGTAGAAATATGTAGCACTTGACTATGGCAATGTCACAATCAAACATGAATAGCATAATCTGTAAGTAACTAATGATGGCAACAATGTGTGAGTAAAATCAGAGAGAAACACTCGTCATATGTCACATCCCAATGACTTTTATACCCGCCCCGACAGCCTTCATGTAAAACGCGCGCCTAGGTGTGAATGTAGCCTCGGTCGTTACAATAAGCAACATGTGTATTGGTGCGATAAACAACACAATTAATTGTGTATAAGTGAAAGTCCATCCCTACATATACCACTGTATTCCGTGAGGAGTACTTGTAAACGAAATTTACCAACTGACCGGGTCGAGATCGGATAGTTGAGTGCCGTTTGTATTTCCCACCTCGAACCCCACGTCTCTCGGGATTAGCTCAAACAGAATGGAATGTTGGCTCGCGAAGAATCATCACATATTTTACACACTGAATGAAACACAAAATAAATAGTCCATTATATGCACTTTGAAGATACATGCTTCCTTCGACGTAAAACCACTTCCACATAGTATAGACAGCCGAAAGAAAAGTCAACGGTCTGACTCTGTCCCTCGCTCTCTTGACAGAGTGCACCATGTCAGGCGTTAGACTCACCTATCTCGCGGGTCGATCCAAGTTGTTTGGCCATTATTATGATCAATATAAAACACTTTTCCATCATAATCTATCGCCTCTTCCCATCCGTCGGGAAGGAGGATCTCTCCATTACGGCCCTTTGGCATAGTTCATCAGTAAAATTCGCTATCGTCTCCCGACACTTCTCACAGTACTGTCCACCATTTTGACTGGGGATATTAACATACGTCACGTGATGCTGACAGCCAATGAGAGGAGACAATAGATCTATTCGCGAGATCGGAATGCATATCTAAATAGCAAAACATTTCTATGTGGGTTAACAGGGGGAAAGTATTTCATCACTAGAAAACTCATAAACAATATGGAAAATAATAACATGCTTTCGGTGGAATTCGATCGGAGATAGCATTTTGTCAATAAACGTACAACACCAGCATTCCAGGGAAGAAAGCATGCATTATCGTATCGGATATAAGTTCGAGTTGGCAATGTAGAAATGCCCCCTACTAAGCAAGATTGGCCGATTTTAAGTACACTAGTCGTTCTGTCACAAGTATTATTCAAAGTGGATCCATTCAAACAACCAAGAGGGTTGTAACGTGTCAGATTCTAAAACTGGAAAGTCAGATTCTATAACTGTACTTATCCGAGAACAACTAAGTATTGGCTACAATCACCACATTCGTGTTATTGTGTGAATTTGAGTGTGTTTGGTTTTTTAATGTCCTATGTATGGTCTTTTTAGCCTTGTTTATTCATACTGGTATTACCATACAAGCTCGATGGTATGTCTAGGTAAGTACAATAGTAAACACTCGATCGGTATGTTGTTTACAACAAGGCTGTTGGATTATATTTAAAGCACCTGCGCACTCGACCATAGACAAATAGTGGAAATATTTAGTCACTAAACAGATAACATTAATATATTCAGGAATTCCAATGCATTGTCTGTCTCAGCCAGTGCGCAGTGAGGTGCTAGTCATGCATGTACACGGATGTATTTTTATCGTGTTTTTGTTTATGGTAATAGCATTTTGAATGGAAACCAGTGACTATTTCCATCCTGAGTTAAGAGCTCGGATTGTATACGCATTAAGGATGTGAATACGTAACGAGGCTTCAATGCATGGCGCTTACGAAAATCATAAAGATTATGCGATCTGTTTCAAAGCGGAATCGGTTTGATTGTTCCGTGATATTCTACTGACGGAATACTCAGCAATTTCCCAGCTGTATGACGGCGTTTTTTGAATGTCTAGACAAATTCTAACCCGGCTCTTTGCGGGTCTTGTGGTAGTAGTCGTCGTCGTAGCAGCAGTAGTAGAAGTGAGTGAATATGGTTTTACTCCGTTTTTACCAATATTCCAGCAATATCACAGCGGACACCAGGAATGTCTTCACACATTGTAAGCACGTGTGGAATCGAACCCTTGGCGTGACGAGCGAACGCTTTAACCACTAGGCCACCCCACCGCCCCTTCTTGTTGTTGTTGTAGTAGTAGTAGTAGTAGTAGTGGTAGTAGTAGTAGTAGTAGTAGTGGTAGTAGTAGTGGTAGTAGTAGTAGTAGTAGTAGTTTGTTGTTGTTTTGTTTAATGTCAGACTCGGCATACCCCAGCTATATGACAACCGTCTGTATATAACTAATCGAGTCTGAACCCGATAATCCAGGGGTTGAAGTCATGAGCATCGATTTAAGCGATCGTGCATCATCAACCTGACCGCCTGATCCGCAATAATAGTAATTGTGTAGAAGTAGTAGTAGTAGTCGTCGTGGTCGTCGTCGTCATAGTGGTGGTTGTGTGGTAGTCGTGCCTGAAATAATCGGGAAAAACTGTAGCGCTATGAATGCACTTCCCGCACAAAACTGAGCAATATTTCACAAAATCAACGCACGAACAATACATCTAGAAACAAAACGCTAAGCCTCAACTCAGTATTGTATTCTACAACACGCCAGGTTCTTCCAATGGTGAAACACGAGCCAGATATTAATGCATACATTCCACCAATAGCGCCGTGAATAGTGCGGACAACTGTATTAACGAATATATAAAGTGAGTGTTTTAAGTCACATTCAACATAGCGTAAACCACGCACTGATACAAAATCGTAATTTATGCAGACATGTCGAATATTTACAAGACATAAAACACCACAGCGGAAGGTAAACACATCCGTGTTGGGACATCTGCCGTCAGTGTTGCAGTATACTAGGGGACGGTGGCTTTAACGCCAGCACTGAGTCACCTCTCATTGTTAACAGGTTCAAACCCTATAGTACAGCATTACTCTCAGGAATGCTCTCCTGTCGTGGACTCTACATACTGGAGGCATTCGCCACCGCGCCGTCAACACAAGGTATATCAACTGGCCGGTTATACTAGATATATTCAACAGTATTTATAGTTTGAAATTGTAGTAGTACAATGCAGTCCAAGCTTGCGTGGAATGCATCAAACTATAATTACATCGGTGACTAAGCTCATGTAAAGCTTGAAACATGGTTAATGTTGTAGTAGAACGCTGGTGTTTATTGCTCTAGTATTGCATTAAGTATTTCATTAGGGACACGTATAGGTGTGTGTGTACATAGCTAGAGAAGCTTCTGCTTATAGAAGGCATTGAGACGGCACTCCACGGGTAGCTGTTGGTTTATTATGTACAGGAATTCCTCCATTCAGCTTGAGGGAACGGTGTGTGTGGTTGACTGGAACAACGGACACGGGGGTCTTATTAGTGCTTGAATGAAAATATATGAAGTACTGACGGAAGGGAGAAGGAAGGAATAAATCGGTTAAAAGTATCTACAACATGAAATGATTTAAGAGTGAGTGAGAGAGCATGATTTTACGTTGCCTTTAGCAATATTCCAGCAATATCATGGCGGGGGACACCAGAAATGGGCTTCACACATGTGGAGAATCGAACCCGGGTCTTCGGCGTGACGAGCGAACGCTCTAACCACTAGGTTACCCCGCCGGAAAACCGGGGAACATCATACATGAGGGAACTATGAAAATGTAATAAACGAATGAATGATGACGGAGAAAAACAGGAAAGTTTTATCTTCGTCATGAAATGAATGATGATTGAATAAGCACATGAATGATTGATGGAAGGAATAAGCACATGAATGATTGATGGAAGGAATAATCACATGAATGGTTGATGGAAGGAATAATCACATGAATAGTTGATGGAAGGAATAATCACATGAATGGTTGATGGAAGGAATAATCACATGAATAGTTGATGGAAGGAATAAGCACATGTATGGTTGATGGAAGGAATAATCACATGAATGGTTGATGGAAGGAATAAGCACATGAATGATTGATGGAAGGAATAATCACATGAATGGTTGATGGAAGGAATAAGCACATGAATGATTGATGGAAGGAATAAGCACATGAATGGTTGATGGAAGGAATAATCACATGAATGGTTGATGGAAGGAATAATCACATGAATGGTGGAGGAATGAATAAGCACAAGAATGATTGATGGAAGGAATAAGCACATGTATGGTTGATGGAAGGAATAATCACATGAATGGTTGATGGAAGGAATAATCACATGAATGGTTGATGGAAGGAATAATCACATGAATGGTTGATGGAAGGAATAATCACAAGAATGGTTGATGGAAGGAATAATCACATGAATGATTGATGGAAGGAATAATCACATGAATGGTTGATGGAAGGAATAATCACAAGAATGATTGATGGAAGGAATAAGCACAAGAATGATTGATGGAAGGAATAAGCACATGGATGATTGATAACAGGAGGAAGAAAGAAGTGTAAAGAATATCTAAGGAACGGATATTGAATTCGTGATTGAACGAATGAGTGTAAAAAGAAGGAATGAGAGAAAAGTATGGAAACGTATGTACGTCGATAAGGGAATCACGAATGATTGATAACGGTAAGAAGAGTGAGAGTGTTTTTACGCCACCTTTACAAACACCCAAGCCATATCACAGCAGGGTCACCATAAATGGGCTTAACACACAGAACCCCATGCTGAGCAAACCCTTTAATTACAACCCGTGAAGATCCGGGTTATTGAAGTGGTCTTCAGCAGCCCATGCTTGTCGTAAAAGGCGACTAATCGGGTGGCCAGGCTCGCTGACTTGGTTGACACATACCATCATATCCCATATGCGTAGATCAATGTTCATGCTGTCGATCTCTGGATTATCTGATCCAGACTAGAATATTTACAGACCACCGCTATATAGCTGGGATAATGCTGAGTGCGGCGTAAAACAACAAAACAACCAACCTTTAAAGATTTATACCCGGACTGTCGACAACAACAAATAATCCGTCCAAATTACTTGTCGACAGTCCGGGGAAAGGGAGGTGATGTTTTACATGAGTGACTTCACTCCCAGTGTTCTCGAAATTAACAAACCAATTAAAACAGAGTGTGATATATATAGTAGACAATATATTTATTCAGTCAATATAACAACATGCATGTATCATATGTCACACAATATAACATATTTGTATACATATTTCATAAATCTCACACAATATATATTTGTATATTACATAAGTCAAATAGGTAGGTAACATTTGAAAATTGTAATGATTCATAAATCATAATGATTCATCCATTTTAGTTATCTGAATGTTCAGCCAAGATGAAGCAACTCTGACACATGGTCTGGGTAGTTCAAGTCAGTGAGTCTGTCGGAAAGACTGACTGACGGACTGAGTTTGGTTTTACGCCGCTTTTAGCAATATTCCAGCAACATCAAGGCGGGGGACACCAGAAATGGGCTTCACACAATGTACCACTGTCGGGATTTGAACCCGGGTCTTCGGCGTGACGAGCCAACGCTTTAACCACTAGGCTACCCCACCGCCCCTGTCGGCAAGAAGGTCGGCCTTCAAGGAGCGAACTACGAGGCTACCACAGAAGCCAACGGAAGGAATAATTGAGCGGATGAAATGTAACGAAAGGGGGATACATTCACATTGAAAAACCGAAGGAATTAAGAAAGGGCGTGAGGAACGACATACATGTTTTTGCGATATTCTTTAAGAATATTCCAGCGAAGGCAAAAGCAGTGATTTTGTATTCCATGGCCTAGGTTTTCGAAAGATCGTAGCCATGTGTTAAGAATGAGCTTAAGATGTTCGTAGGGCTACGAACGATTCGAAAAGTTTGGGCCCATG